TATTTATAGTATACCTAACCAAATTAAAAGCTCGTTTTGGTTTATGACAACCATATCATAAGTTGCATGGACCAATGTTGTGTCCATGAGAACTATAATATATTGTTAGGTCAACCATAACTTACGTAGTTGGAAGAATTATAAAAATATGGCTGGCTCCAAAAATGACTATAAATTATAGTGAGATTGTGGTAACTGCAACTATTTTTTTCTCTCAGTGTATCCCGTCTGTTTGCCAGTTTGTCACGTTTTCTATTCTCCGTCCGATTACTATCTGTTCTTTTCACTAAAAAATTCCTTTCGTCAAAAAGAAATCTTTCAAATAAACGGTATCAAAAATCGCTTCGAAGAAGGGAAAAGCTATTATACGAGACTTTCGCACACAGAGAGAAAAAAATAGTTGCAGTTACCACAATCTCACTATAATTTATAGTCATTTTTGGACCCGACCATATTTTTATAATTCTTCCAACTACGTAAGTTATGGTTGACCTAACAATGTATTATAGTTCTCATAGACACAATATTGGTTCATGCAACTTATGATATGGTTGTCATAAACCAAAACGAGCTTTTAATTTGGTAAGGTGTACTATGAATATTGCAATAACAACCACAAGTAAAATTGCAAATAACTATATGTAATAGTAATAATCGTATTTATATTGAAAGTAATACAATACATTGCGTTCACTACGTTCATTGGTTAAATCACTTATTTGCACTCATAAAGAATAGTACAAGATAGCATCTTTCAAAGAAAAGATAAGTAATCTTATACGAATGCGTAAACTTATCCGTATTTATAACACCCTAAGCGGTTTTTTACTTATGAGAGAGTCTTGTACCGCGCGTCCCTCTAGTGAAGACATTCCGAACCACTTTACTTTTTTTACCTTGCGAGTAAAGTGGATGATAGAAAGTATAGTTAAATTTACTATTATTGTACTTGCACCTACTATATAAAACTAGTTAATTTAGTTACTATTCACCATCTTAATATTTTACCAGAATAATAGTTAAAAGCTTCATAAATAATAGTAAAATTGTTATGCTGGTTGGCATCACTTTGACTATGTGGTTGTTATTACTAATATTATAGTGATAATTACTATAAAAATGATATTCCTCACTATAATTATTTTACTATGCAATTATAGTCGCAAATACTACGTACTTTTTTCTCTGTGCAGAGATAGAAGGAGATTATTGAACAGAATGGGGCACATATATTACAATAAAACTTTGCTGTTTTTGGAAATTTTGCAAGATACAATTTCTAAACAGTTAATAAAATACCTAAAAAGAAAAACGAAAAATCTTATAGGACAACTTGATACATGCATAATTCAAGTTGTATAGAAAAATTTAAAGAATAAGCGAGAAGTTTTACTTCGCAATTTAAGAATTACAACACCTTCATAAATACTGGAACATATAATTCTCACTTGCTAGTTTCCAAAGAGACTCAATAATTCAACATGCATTGTATCACTGAAAGCTTTCCACTAAACAATTCCCTTCGTCAAAATGAAATCTTTCAAATAAACGGGAGCAAAAGAAGAACTTGGTCCAAATTCTAGCATCGTGGACACAGGCCTTAAGAAACATTATACATGCAAGAAAATTAGAACAAAAGTAACTCGGTTACGAAAAAGGGCAGTAATTTCGTACTTGCAATTACATAAAAAACTCCTTGCAAAAGATAGATTATATCCTAGGCAAACCTAGCAAATAATGAATACCCGTGCTCAAAATCCTCCCAGTTAATTAATCAATATCCTTCACACAATTAGAAGTTGGACATTAAAATTCAGACATTACTGGAGAAGAAGACCCGCATTCTCCCCATATATGTCGCTGGCTAAACGCGGTCGTTTAATTCTCACTTTATCCCGACCGCATCCTCTAAACTGAGTTTGAAATCCCCTCCCCCCTGAAATGTTACACATCATACACGTCTCCATAACGTTACGTCTTCTCTTCTTCAGGAAAGCGCGAGTCCATCGGAGGCGGGAATCTTGTTGGTAATTGGCCGTATTCGACGGGGGGTCCGATCAGACCCCTCAACGGTAACGTTGGCGGCGGCGGTGCGGCGGGGGGCACCAACATGACACCGGACGATCCAGCGCCCGACGAAGAATTCGCCCTCGCCGTCGCGCAAAAAGCACAGGTACGGCTGCTTATCATCGGCTTTTTGCTCGGTCGAGCCGAATAATATATTCTTGATAGCGCAACAACCGAGTACACGTGTGTACCGCGTACTCTCGCATGCCGAGTCATTATGCACGCCGGCCAGGAAATAGGCCACTTCTTCATAAACACCTCTTCTCGTGCGTGCGTCGTAAGTCAGTCAGGACTCTTCATTTCGATCCATTAGCGTGTAAATGGAGGCACCCGAGGAAAAGATTCCTTCGCCGGATCCGTGATTTTTAAAGTTTCTTCGCTATTTGCACTTTTTTTGAAATTGAAGAAGAGAAACACCGTGCGCACCTACAAGATCAAATTCAACTGTCGGAATGAAGCTCTACTAAAAGATCGAGTTAAAATCTGTGTCCACGATGTTAGAACTTGGTCCAAGTTCTAGTTTCGAGAAACGTGAGGCCAACTTGGAACTATTCCATAAAAGCTGTAAGTTGATTGGCTGCGCGTTCCTCTGAACTAGAACTTGGACCAAGTTCTAGCTTCGTTGACGCAGGCCTTTAGATTGACGCACGTGGAGCATACGGAGCGTAAGGATCATGAAATATTGAAATCCGATAAAGTGCTCGTCAATGAAAATTAGGGCACGCGTTTCTCGCGCTACGAAGTTACAATCGCGTATATTAAATCGCGTGCGAAGTATACGCTGGGTACGTACGAGTACGAGCCACCTATTTTTCACGTGAAACGCCTCTCGAGAGCGCGAAGCATGTACATATGTAGCTTCAATGCGCCGGTGTGTCCCCGTGCACGCGGCGGAGGTATTTTTTCAAAGGAGCCCACGCGAGTTGAATCGTCAATTCCGTAAAAGCGACCGGGCACAATGCTCTCCGTGTGGAAGAGGAGAGCTCCGTGACGACCTGGCGACGGGCGTTCGCGGTGCACGCCTCGTGCGCATCGTTGAACGTTCACTGACGTCGCTGGCCGCGTTGTGGCTATTGTTGTCGAACTCAACGATTTTTTTACGCTCGCCTCTGCGGTTTTAAGCCTCGAAGTCGACCTATTTAAGCTTCGACTGGTTACGTGAGAACGTTTAGAACAGCGCGAAGATGTGCATTCAGCTTCGATCACCGATTACAGTTGCATGATGGAATTATTTGCCGCTTTATCTAATTTGGGGTTTTGCCAATTCAGTGGAGCATCTTCAGACGAAATTTATGAAGACGATAAGGATACTGGCAGCGTGAGCAAAATTGTACAGATAGAATTAGCTGAACCGATACCGCAAAAGGAAAACCTTGTATTTTTGATGAATAAAATATGCAATTAATTGGGAGAAATTTATGTAAAATTGTAATTGCAGATTGTGTAAACGTGTATCTCTACTTATCAAATTAGCAGTAATTTATAAACTTTATAGTCTCGTTGCTTGTTGATTTCGTGTCGATCGAAATTGAATTTTGAGAAGAAGAAATTTCTCCCGCAGACCGTGTCTGAAGTTTAAACACTCTTTGAATGCTGCATGAAAAATACCGCGCGGTGTACACAGAGAGTATCCCCGAGATTATTTTGTGTTTGGTTTTAATTTAATTTAATAACACTTTACCGAACTTAAAAGCTCATTTCTCCTTTAAAAAATTTTGCTCGTGCATCTCGGAATAAAATTCCGAGAGAATAAATTTTGTTTGAGCGAACGATCAGACATCTTTTTTTTTACGCATAATTTGAACGTAGACTTATGGCCGATTTTTTCACTTCCCGATAAAATTATCCGGAGGTTAATCTCAAGTTTTGGCCAATCACGTGCATGGATCTGGTAGTTATCTCCCGTTTAACTTTAACCGTAACATAACTGGATGTGAAGAAATCGGGCATTACTAAAGATTAAGCATAATTTCGGAGCATAAAATTTGCAGCTTGAAAGGTATTGACGCTTTGGCATTTCAGTTCAGAAAAAAAATCGACACCATATTAGGCGGAGGACGAATAATTAAAGTCAAAACATCCCGTACATACGAGCACCGACTTATTATTCGACTTAGAAATTTATGAATGCAGAACTGAAATTATTATCTGCGTGGGAAGTCACTGAAGTAATGCTTTCCGGCACGGAACTCGTGGGATTTCTCGAGCGATCTTTATCTCGCACTCTTCTCTACGCTGAGTAATTAGCACTCTGCTTAAAAGGCAGAGTCCTTCGAGATCGATTTCGCACACGTGCTGTATTCGAAAGAAACCGGTCCGGAATTTAAAGCTCTTTTTTTGTTAGACGTAAAGAGGATTCTGACGTTATTCATGCCATTTGACTAAACGCGCGTCGAACTGGTCTTTTATCTTCAACAGATCTCGCGATACTTATCTCAGTACAATCTAATTAATATGAAAGCAATTCTTGGAAAGTGCGTCCGTTTGATACAAGGTAGTCCGAAAAAAATGACACGCACCCACCGCGTCTTGAATCGCCTTTTACAGGACAACGCGAAATTTTTTTCTAATTAAATCCGTTGCAAATACACGACAAGCTGTGACGCAAGAGCACTGAGCTACTTCACCGATATAACATTTGCTACGAGCAAATTTCTGTAAATAAGGAAAACGCAGCTCTCGACGAAACGCACAGTTCCGTCAAAGCTCGTTCGGGGACCGGCAGGTATATATACATTGCGATTTCGCTACGCTTCTCTTGGCATTGGGCAACTTTCCAATTAATGTAACGTTACGTTCTTAATGGAACAGGTCGAATTGCAATTGCGCAAGGGTGCGCGCTGCGAGCGAGAACGCGTGCACCTCTCGACCTCGAGACCGAGAACGGGAGTTGCGTGGAGACCTCATCTCTCGCACATTAATATCGGTCTATTTAATTTTAAGAGCGAAGCGCGCTTCACTTTGCGGAATAAACTGCTCGAGGATAATCTTGCCCTTTTGAATTTTCCTTCAAATTCAATCCTTACAAATTAAAAGTCCCGACGCTTTAATTGCTTAACGGACTGTTCAAGAATTATCAAAGCATATTCGAAAAAGAATTGTTTCAGTTTAAAGCAAACTGTTACTTAATGAAAATATATATATATCATCTCTCTTATTTTATATTCGCTATGTTTTCGCGTCTATTCGTGCGGCTACTCGAATATTCAGCAGCGACTCTCGCATCCTCTCCCTCTATTTCTACAAGAAGAGAGATATATAAAATTTCATATAAGACGTGCAACTTTCTTGCGCTTACGATTTATTATTTAACCACCGGGGTTAATGACGCTCATCGGTGACGTCAGAGGGACTCCTTCGGCGTTGCACGCGACGTCGCGTGTGAGCACGCCGGGATCATGTCCTACATCCTAGCAAGACGAAGGTACGACTTCTTGGACGACGAGTCGCGTGACGTCGCTTTCACTCGGCGGGCCCGGGGACGAAAGTATTTTCCGAGAATATCCTGAAATTGCGATATGCACGGCCTGTACGATCTTAACGTCCCGCGCGGGGTAAATTGCCGTTAATGATACGCTGCGAGCGAACGTACGGGCGGACTGTCATTGCGGGGTTGTTTTGTATCGCTAATATTCCTTTATGCCTCTTTACGCCGGGCACGGCAAGGTTGCGCATAATGCACCGGGCGCACCATCTGCCCGGTGCTCAGTTTCACATACAACAAATATAGAGATAATGCGAGAGGCAAGAAAATCCAATATCTCTGCAGTCCTATTCGGATTGTCGCGCAACTGTAACAAAGTAAAAATAACTGAGAAAGTTAAGTAAGGAAAGTAACTTCGTTAATATTTGAAAATATAGGTACGGAGATAAGATTTACGATGGAAGACCGAACTTTATTCGAGTTTATATTTATTTTTAGGATATAAATTTTCTGCCGAGGTGCTTTTCTCATATTTTTAAATTTCATGATTTCGTCAGGCTTTAAATTTTAAACATATTCTCTACAGTACCCTATTAATACGTTTGATTAGAGTCGCATTAAAAAGGTGGGAATCTAACGACACTAAATGTATAAAATATAAAAGGAGAGTTGATACAATTGAAAAAGATACTTGAGGCTAGATAGAGTCTCATTGAATATCTTTCTCAATTAATTAAATACGAGGTATTAGTGGCGGTAATGAGTGAGAGTGGATGCTTCTCCATGGCGCTCTAATTAAATCCTAAATCAGATGTTTCCGTCCCGCGTAATCTATCAAGAATTAATTATCCTACAAACACAGATAGGCGATTAATCAACGCTGACCCAGCAGTATTTTTAATATCGGTGCTAATGCAATACTCCGGAGCGCATTATGCGACTCGATTACCGCCGAATTGAACCGCAACACGCGAGGGTGTGAGATACGAAGACCCCTCGTATTTATTTGATACATGCAAATGCATGCGCATGAACGCGCCGGATGGAATATCTCGTTGCAGAGAGATGCAGAGGCAATCCGCACCGCTCTGTATCTCGGAGTGGCACTCGCGATCACCTGGATAATAGGAGCGGCTGGCCTGTCCCTGGCGTGGCTGGTTCTGGTCCTGGCACTGGCGACGACCGTCGTTAAGGCGAGAGTCTCCCGGCTCCTTCAGACGGAATTGCAGCACGAGCTGGCCAGGTTACGTAGGAGACGGGCCCTGTACAAAGACGAGACCGCCGAGTGGCTCAGTCTGCTCCTCAACAAGTGGCAAGTACCGTTTTCACCAGTTTATCGATAAAGCTAATCACGAAAGGAGAGTACGCCGTGCGCCACACGCCAGTGCACGCGGTTGTAACATTAACCCTTTGAAGCCCGATATAAAAGAAATATGTTTTTAAAGAGACAAATATTTACTGCGTACAAATACTTATATAATTAAATGACTGTCAATTGGACAAATTCGATCAATGTATTAGTCTCCTTAAACTCTTTCTTTCGTAACGAAACCACTGGCCTGAAGGAAATATTTTCTCTTGGAGGTATCTTTTCGCAATAATAATTCTTTATATACTTTATATATAACAATATATATATGTATATCCTGCTCGGACTTGCATATTTCTTATTACATATTTTCTGTTATAAAAATCTATCGTGTTTTAATAAAATTTGTTTTTTAAAATAAGTTTACGACACGTAAAAGATAAATTCTCAAATTAACTTTTATATTGAAAAATATAGTGAGGCTCAATGGCTATGGCATAAGGCCAGCACTATATTGCAAAATGAACGAGAAATCAAGGAAAATGAGAAATATTAATTGCTGCACCCTATGTATTTTTAAACAACGCAAACATTCAATTGCGTACCTTACAATTCAGCAACGAAAGGTGGTTTCGTTTCGAAACTATAGCGAAAGTAATGCGATCAATACGAAGTATTTCACAGCGAAACTATCAGAACGCAGTGGGTTAATATTTTCAAAAGAATTTCACATTCGTTTTTTCACCGCGCACTTACCCGCGAAAGTCGATTATTACAAGGCAACTCGATATTTGCTGTCGACATTCGCGTTTGCTAACGAGCACAAGATTATCATGACAGAGAGATTAGTCGTGCAAGATTGATGTAACGAGTCGTCAATTAATAAAAAAATTAACAGAAAGGTGACTGCCCGGGTCTAGAGGAGTTTGTGTAAGTTTAACGTAGCGATGCGTCCATTATTACCGTATATCTCGTGACCTCGCCGGGGACTCGGCTCTTCCGTATAGCTGTGATTCGCGGTAATAACGCTATTGTAATGTCGGTGGGTGTACGCGCACAGCGATTGTCCTCGGCATCGGACGGGTGAATGAACTCCCCTCGTTCGGGAACGAGCACTACATACGCATTTGTAAACATACCACATTCCTGACGCACGTGGTATAGATGTGGCCTTTCACGTTTCTGCTGCCCGTGCCGCGGATAAAATCCTTGCCCGTCGCCGCCGCGCCGATACATGTCTCGAACGGAACGAGTAGTCGACGCTGTAGAATCGACCGCGTTTAAATAAATCGCCATCGTAAGGCTCGTTGCATACGAAAGCTCGCGGGATCTCAATATAGTTGTTTTCTTTTTTAAACAGATGTAGAGATAACTGCGAAAATAAAAATCCCCCTCGTCGTACTGAAACTTATCAAAAAGTCTCTCTCTCTCTCTTTCCGTTTGTCGGAAATAAAAACGATGGAAAATGTTTAAAGGTTCTAGAATCGATTCCTGGTTGCAAACAAATTCGCGATTTAATCTCGAAAAGATTAATATTTTGAGAAGGAAAAAATATACCGACGGGATTGCGTCGACGGTCTCACATGCAAGCGATTTCCTTCACTCGCCGTCCTTTCCTCGTTTGTCAGCGGTCGGCGCGGGGCGAGCGGCAACAGGCGTGGAAAGAGTGCTACTTATTTGGATAGTTGATAGACCTGTTCGAGCATTCCTGAACAGTCCCGGCTGCGGGTTTCTCGCCGACCAACGGGAACATCTACATGCGGGGGGAAAAGCGATGAATTCAGCGCGACGCGCTACACACGCTGTGAACGCGTATAAAGAAAACGTATAAAGAAAACGACTGGCGCGATCGCGCACGCACGGCGCTTATTTGATCATATGCGAGGAAAAGTACGGTGACTTCGGAAAAATTCCTATGGAATCGAGCACCTGCAAAAAATTCCGTAGCGGCTGAAAGACCGGATAATAGCACCATATATTCGCGCGATATTGGGAAATAATGTAAACCTAGTATTCTCAATATTGGACACCTTCTCTTATTTAGCCAAGGTGTCCATTTAGCAATATTGGTCTAATATTGTATCGATATTAGACCAATGTTCCTATTACATCGTTAAATATTGGCCAATGCACTTCCAATATAAATCTAATATTATATAATTATTATCGTACAATATTTGCATCGATTCCATGGCCGATATTGGCTTTACGTTGGACAATACCGGCCAATGCATTTCTAATATGACCAACATTGGACCAATATTTAGCCAATGTTTAGCCAATGCACTGTGCTACTAGGGTTGGAACAGACTCTAGTGCACTTGTGGCGATACGTGTATGAAAGCAATTTCTACTTATTTATATTGTCCCCTCGGTAAAGACAATGGTATAAAAATTGAAGCTACAATTAATGATGATTTTGTAAAGTCACGAGACGCGTACTCATCACAAAATAATAGAGAATCTGCTAATAGCAGAAGTAATTTTACAAATTGGGACTATAATATTTAAGAAGAGGCCGCGCGATGGAAAATCTGGAAGGGTCGAATTGGGACAGGCAGGATGTTATCCAAGCACCTTAAAAAATGACACGTGCGTGGGCACGCGTTAATCTACTTGTCTGTCCTTTAATCTATTCACGAAACCGGCGTGGGCCGCCGAGTATTATGCGAATCAACTCGTTTATCGATGACGAAAATGGGATGTCGTTAACGATAAACTCTGGAAATAACTCGTCCGTCATGGCACCGAAACGTCACCGCGCGTCTTTCGCGCTCGAAAGAGCGCTTTATCGTATTAAATCTGTCCATTCGCTTAATTAAATTGAATGTTTAATGAATCGTATCTCATCACACTGCTCCTCGAGATATCTATCCATAGAGATTCAATATGAAAGGGGAGAGGATTTTCATGCAGATTGAAAAGACCGCGATATCAATTTAATAAACTCACACGAAACGATTCAATTAAAATCCGGCGTACCGATGGACCGTAGATTAATCTATTATAGATTACAGATCATAGGCCTTGTTTACACGTCGAATGAATTTACCTCACGCTCATTGTATTCTTTCCCCAGGTGGAGGTTCAGCGCCGCCAGCATATTTTCTTTGGCGAAGGAACGACTGGAACCTCTCCTTAATGAGGCCAAACCCGGTATACTAGGTAAGGACACTCTTTGTAAATACACAACAGGAGTGAGAAAGAGAAAAAGAAAGGGAGATAAATTAAAGGAGTTCGACCAGAGAAATTAATCATCGACCGCTCGAAGGATTCCAAATTACTTCGTCGTTTAGCGGCTCCATTGTGACTCTATAAGAGATACTCGTTTTTCAGGCCCATTAGAATTACGCGAACTCACTCTGGGCGAACAGACGCCGTGCATCACTCGCATCAGAACGCTTGATTGCTGCAGCGATGACGATCTTCCCAATGGCCACCACTTCGGCCAGACTAAATTGTCCATCGAAGCGGACCTGCGGCTGGACTGCGAGCAATTCCGCATGCTCATCACCACGCGGTTGTTTGGCAAAGGGTGAGGAGCGAGGCATTCGTCGTATTAAAAATCGCCCGACAACTTGTCGAACAATAAAGTCGCTTCGAGCAAATATCTCGCATTGCCGTCGCTTCGTGCGTATTAATTTACCTTTACATTGTCGCGTCATTAATTGCGATTCATTTGTTTCATCAGAATTAAATCAAGTTATTTTTCTCGACGAAAATTAATAATAAGTCTTAGCGCCTACCTCCCCGAGGATACACCTCTCTTTATTACTATGGATCGTAACATCAGATATGGGAGAAAAAAGGCAAACTTGGAAATTGATACGAAATTTAATTATAGATTCTTAAAAATTTAATTTCGTATAATTTGCAGGTTTGTCTGTTTTTTTCCCCCGATCTGATATTACGATCTCACTCGTCGTTTTCTTATTATCTTCTTATTAGCTTATTCTCCTGTCCACAAAACGGTTTACTAAATCTTTTTGCAAATACCCCGGCAGTGTGGGGATGGACATCGACCTGGCGGTGGAGAAACTGTCGCTGTCCGGCACGATTATCGTCAATTTAACCCTGAACACATCGGCGCCGTTTCCACACGCGACCGGGCTCAGCCTGAGCTTTCTGGAGAAGCCGGACGTTTGGTTCAGCGTAAAAATCCTGCGAGCGGTGCAGATGATGGAGATGCCGCTGATCAAGACCTGGATTCACGCGGTGGTCACGGACGCTCTGGCCAGCTGGCTGGTCGACCCCGGCCACTTGGAGCTGAACCTGAGGGCGCGGGAGCGACCGGGTCCTGGATTGGACTCCGTAATCAGCTTGTTGCCGCAGGGCGTGCTTACCGTCGTCCTGTGCCAGAACGGTTGCTCTGGTGAGTGTCCTTTAGATGAAAACTGCGAGCGACCGTACGCTAGAGCTAAGATCCTGAAAGAAACGACTATCGACCGTTAAATTTTCTTTTAGCGTGATTTAGCGCAGTTAAAACGCGCGGTTTTTACTTACTGTAGACATTCCCATCAAACACGCAATTGTTAGCTGTTATAATGGACGTGCAAACCATTATCATGGCTTATTATGGACTCGTTAGAAAGTCTCTAAACTGGCGTTTCTCCGTTACCAGCGAACGTCGCTGATGAGGTGAGATGGCTCGTGGTAACGGTGGGCGATCAGAGACGGATCACCTCGAACTTGAGCACCACGTGGACCGAGGACGTGTCTTTCTTGGTCGGGCCGTTAGACAACGAGAGGATCACCATCAAGCTGAAAGCGAAACGGATCGTTAGTACGATCACTCTGGCTCAGTTCGAGTTAGCGTTAGGGGTCTACGACTGGGAGAATTCGCAGGTGTAAGTCGGCATTGAGCACACGCTACGCCACGTCGCCCCGAGTATTCACGTCGATTTTCTTTTTCTGTCTTCACGTTATCGACTCAGCGGCTTTCGTTAATCCGTTCGTTTTTTTAAGCAAGTGGATAATCCAATAACCAGTTTTCACTTCTGGCCCGACAGTTTTGCAGATTATTAGCAAACTTTTATTCTCGTATTTTCTCATGAAAATCACGCGGCCTTTGTCCATTCGATATCTTGAGACGCTCGTCGGAGAGCGTGAGATTATTTAACTTATCCACCACTTGTCGACTGAAGGCGACTTAGAATCGAAATTTATAACTTTGTATCGAATTGCTAATTAAGTGTTAACTCACGCGCAACTAACCGCGCTTGACTCTCGAAGCCCTTGTTCAATTCTACCTTTAAATTCTATTCGTCTCTATTCGACAGCGTTGAAACCGTGTTACAACAAAAGAAACCGTCCCGCAGTAGCGCTAACATTCCGAGCATCAATGCGCGACTGGAATACACCACTTTGCCACACTTGGAACCCGACTTGCCGCAGCCAGAACTAATGGCCGATAACATGCATCTTGCAGGTACATAAAGAAAAATATTAATGTAATATAAAATATATGAAACACGGAGGCAATGTGCTTGTATAATTTAACTCAAATCGTAGACGAATATATCTCTGTGAAATATCCGAACACATCTGTCGCGATCAGTATTATCGTATGAAATATTTTCAGTGTCGCGAGACTCTTGCCACAAAGCGCACAAAGCAGGTAAACCTAATTGTGAAGTATCGTGTGGTGAAATTTGTGCATGATCGTGTGCAACATTCTTTTCTTTGGTACAATGTTAATTAAATGTACGCTTGATGGTTTTACTATCAAGATTCTTGCCCGAGTAAAACTCCCCTCACAGAAATGTAACAACTGGGAACGAAAAACTCACTGAACAATTACTAGAGTTCGGTAATTGCATTGTTAAAAATTACTGACGTACAGTAATTTTTTTAGTAATTACTTGGCTTACATTTCTATAAGGGTCTCGAGCGCGCCCAATTACCTTGTCGTTAGCTTTTCCGTGAAAATGTGTAGAGAATCCTTGGATGTTCTTTTTCTGATAAACTGAAAACAGGAAAGGTATTATCATGTGTAATTTTCAGGGGTATTGGTGGTTTACATTCATTCCGCTGACAATCTCCACGGCGATACCGCCCAGTGCAATCCTTATTGCATGCTGTTTAATAATCGAAAGAAGGTAAACACAATTTGTAATATAATGCGTTTCAAATATGCTTTGCAAGGTTTTAAAATGATATCGAGCAGAAACTATCGACGTTCTATGGGATTTTTTTCAGGTGAAAACGACGCATTACATTCGTTCGACAACGTCCCCGGTTTGGGACTGCAGAGCGCAATTTCTCGTGCAAGATTACACGCAAGTGTCGCTGAGCTTCGTCATTTATTCGTGGAATATAGTAAAGTCAGTGGATACAGACATGCTTGGACTGGCCATGCTATCTCTGTCTCAGGTAATCAAGCAATAAAGTTTTTCTTGACAAAGTCAAACGCAAAAAGGAGATAGGCATAATCAAGAAATATTTCAGATATAATACAGTATTTGAAAAATATTTTATACGTTACGGATTTATCATGATTGTGTCTCTCGATTCGTTCCACAATTAATGCCCTCGGAATGCTGCAAGAGATCTGAAAATGAAAAGTAACTTTTCTGCCAAGGACACGACCTGGATCGTCAGGAAGGAACTCATGCTCAGCGGTTCCAACATCGTCTCTGCCATGACGGTCTCCGTACTGTTTTACCCTATCAAGAGTGTACAGCAAGTGGTGAACAGTCGCAGAAGCAGCTTGGTTCCAACTACGCTGGACGACGAACCGAAAATCAAACGGAACAGTCTGCCGTGGATGCAACAGGCGGTCCGTTATGAAACCCTATATTTATCCGGGAAAAAATTTCTATGCGAGTGCCCACTCAAGTCTTAAAATACTCTTGCAGAGGCTGTTATTAACGCACAAGGACGCGGATCCCACCTCCTCCGATATATCCAGTCTCCTGTCCACCGGAAGCGGTTTGATGGAGGTGACGTTGCTGCGCGCGAGGGATCTCGTCGCGAAGGACCTGAACGGCTTCAGCGATCCCTTCTGCGAGCTGAAGTTGAACAACGAGACGAAGTACAAGAGCAGCATAAAGAAGAAGACGCTGAACCCCTGCTGGGACGAGAGTTCCATCATGGGCCTGCCGAAGACCGGGGAAGCTTTAGATATCGTAATTACGCATATTTCCCTCGCACCGAAACTTCATCGCGGAACAGGGAGAGACGATTTCTATTTTAACTTGATCTTGCAGGTGTTATGGGATCACGATACTTTCGGCATGAAGGATTACCTTGGGAAAGTATCACTGACTCTCGACGATATCAGGAAGCTGTCGAACAGCGATCAGTCCCATTGGTTTCCGCTCAAGGAAACCAAAACGGGATCTATAGAGCTGAAAATTAAGGTCTTGTCGGAGGAATGCGAGGTAACGTTGCGCGGCACGATAATTTCAGTATGCTGTAATTCCTCGAGCAGCCTCTCGTTGTAAATCTCCGTTTGAAATTCTTTTCTCTAGACGCAAAGCACGTACGCAACCAGCAATGTCAGCGACAATTCTTCTCGTCTAAACACCGAGCCCGATTCCTTGTCGAGTATCGTGCGAAGGCCTTCCATGGAAAAATCTAAAATACGTCTGCACTTAGATCCGGTCGTGCCGCCGCCACCTCCACCGCGCACTGTCACCCTCCTGAAGCCAACTACGTCCAACCAGTCCGGTAATGTCACGTTTTGAAACTTATATTTCATATTTTTGTGGACCTTTAGTAAACTGCGCGCTGTTCGACACGGGTTGCTACAGAGGTTTGGTATATTTTCATGCAGATAAGGTCAGCATCACCAGCAAAGAGTCCAACGACGTGAACGGAATGCCAAGTTTCTGGATTCCGAAGGTCATCACGGAATCGGTGGCGGGTAATTCCGTCGACGAGGCCGACACCAACAAGGTGATCGCAGAGAGACGGGCCTCCCATCACAGCTTGACCCCCAGCCCCGAGCAGAGCTTCGGCAAGAAGTTACCGCAGTACAACAGCTTCCGCATGATGAAGCAGAAGGTAAACGCTTCGAGTTATCCACGATCGAAACGTTAGCTTTTTCTGTAATTGTTTTGTGTAATTGTAGGTGAAGAGGGGTTTGAAACTTCGTAGATTTCGCTCAGAAGTGACTATAGAGGATAAGACCGATAACAAAGGCATCACGTTGAGCCTGGAACCCAGAGGTGGCGGAGAGGCCGACGCCACGGAGCTCTTGTCGGAATCCGGCCTGGCACACGCGGTGTCGCAACCAGACATGCTGGGCAGAATACGGCAGTCCAGTCCGCGATTAAGATTGAGGCCGAATGGTTAGTGGATAGTCGACATCATCATACGTGATACTATAATGTAACCGTGATAGATATTTGCATTCAGGATCTCTGTTATGCACACTTATTAATGCAACTTGAGACGGCAAAACTGAAAAGATAAAAATATAAAAATGTATATAGCCCCTTTTCCAATTTTTGATTTTTGTTTTGAAGAAAGACGACTAGAGTTTTAGAATTAATGGCGAAACATGAAGTGAGAGAGAATGGAATTTTCAGATTTAAAAATTGTCAACGGCACTAGAGAGAAGTATTCAGGGGTGGAAGGGAAGGTTCTTCAAGCGCAGGGTCTCCACGTAGCGCACATCGCCCAGTTGTACTGCCGAGTAAAGCTTCAAACGTAAGTTGTACTTGATGTACACGACAATTCGCGGATGATTAAACTGAGCATTTCCAGGAGCACCAGTCCGGATAAGATCGTCTCGCTTAACGGCGGTAAGACCATCGCGAAATCGCGACTCCTGCCAGCTATGCCTAATCCTCAGTTCAGCATAGACTTCCATATAGACGGCGACGGTGTACCGAGACAGGCGTTACTGATATTTGAGATCAGGAGCGCCAGCAAGGAGCTGCTGGCCAGTCGACGTATAACTCTACACGAATTGCTAGGTATGACATTTTAAGTATTCTCAAGTATAAGAGTAAGCTATCCTTAATTACGTTAAAATACAATTATAATGACATTACATATGACATGGCTTATTAATATGTAGAGAAAAGTCCTCTATTAAGAGATAGTAAAGAGCAGGTTTTCAACACCCAAATTCAATCACAAATCCTTTTTCGCAACAGTTACGCAATCTAACAATGAATTTCCCACTGAACAGATTTCGCTCCAAGGGCAGTAAATTCATGGTGGAATCAACTGACGATGCCTATTAATTTAATAGAAACTCCGCTATCTCGTATTAGGATCCTATCTCATAATAGGGGACTTTCCTCTATAAACTGTGACCTCACACACATATTATCTTTTCGTATCTTACTTATGGTATAGTTTTATACGTACATATTGTTTGATATATTCTTTAAGATTTGTCTTATGAATGCGTAGGTGTGTCTGCAGCTACCGACGAAATTCACACGTGGTTGGCGCTGAATAACGGCGCGTCACTGGAAGTACAAATCGCTCACGGAAGGGAGTTTAAGAATAAGTCGTCGAAAAAGTTGTTCCGCTCCTGGTCGGTTCATCGGATAGGGAAAATATGAGACTTAAAGAAAACCAGATACTGCAGCTGTATTTAACGCGCGTTCATAAAATCTTAAGATCTTTTAACTCGTTCCTGGGAACACAATTTTACCTCGAGAACGCGAATTCCGTTAGCGTTCGTCGCATTAATGAGGAAACGGATAAAGATCCTGATTAATGAGAGGAATATTTTTGCAAGTCGCGATTATCTTTTACAATCTTTTTACAAGCTGTACACAAGAATTCTTAAGATCACATCGAGCCACTGCATGTATTATAAACTTTAACAGCATTCCACATAACGTTTATCTCAGCCTTTTGTATGATTGCATTAACGAGGACTTGCTATTCTAAGTACATGGAACTTTCGACAAAATTGTACAAGATAAATTAGAAAGAGAGAGATAAAGATATATATACAAAGAGATATATGTATGTTAAGTCCTAATTTATGTATATTATAGATTTTTAATATTCGCAAAATTTAATACGAGAAATATATTGAGATATCAGTGAGATATATATTAAAATGCCACTTCGTTCACTCATAATTTCCGAATATATTACATTTGTACATTTACATGTATTGCTATTTTATAATACAATATATATTATAATATAAAGTGTAATAATATAATAATACTAATAATAAGTGTATATTTTGTATTACTCCAACATATTATATATATATATATTACACATTCAATATTATATATATAGATATAAACATATCATCAGAGTTTATAATTCAAATTGCTTTTATATCACACAATTATTCAACAGATATGAAAGTTGTATTTCAATAGATACAAACTTGCATTTATAAGGGATTATATGAAACAGTACGCTTTTAGTCTTATTTCTCAATATACATTTTTTAAGTGTAGGCACAATTATAGATCCTAAATCTGAAACTTGCAATCACAAAAGTATATTTTTATCAAGCAAATAATCAACGATATCTTTTTGCTCTCGGTTGTTCTCCCTCGCCATCAAAAATTTATAACTGTAACTCTGTGGAAAAAACATATACTGTATAAATGTAATACATTATAAAACCAGTAAGAAAATAGAGAACTACACTCGTTATATCACTAGACTGAAGCAGAAGCAAAATTTTAACGTTTGCAACGGTGGCAGTCGTGTTTTAGAACATGCAAGTGTATATAATCGTGTGTATATACATACATAAACTTATGCACATATAAAATATGATAAGAAATGTACATCAGTTGAAAACGAACCTCGGCGTCAACCGTTCGATATCAGCCGATGTACTCTTGTTAAATTAAAGGACTCGAAGCTTCTTCCCATGATTCTATGTAAATTATAAATTACAATTACAAAATAAGATTGCACTTGTGTGGCTATAACAGCATCGTTGGTAACGTTGGTAGCAGGTCTGCCTCATTTCGGTCAGCCAAGTGTCAGCCTAAGATACCTAATATCCCCCGAATGAAAAGGTACAGAGCTCAATCCCTCGAGCTGCGGCACGCGTCTCTCTCTACGGCTTATTGCACCTGCCACTGAAAAAAACCGGACACGTCAAGGGCCGTGAAATCTTACTCTAACGCGCATTTGAGCCGTGAAATCGCAACCGCCTGTGTTCTTACTCGTAGCGTAGGCTGCGTGCCGCTGGCGGCGGCCTCCTGTTCCCGCTTCTCGAGTTCCAGCGCCCGTCGCTGCTGCCTCTTGACGGACTCTACGTCCTTTATACCCCGTTGCTGTTGCTCGGCTATCCTCTTCTCAGCCGCCTCGGCCTGTTTCCTGCGTATGGTCTCCTGAGCAAACGAGAGAGAATGGCAACGTGTCAGGAGTGCAGTTTTTTCAGCGCGACACGGGGGGTTGATTCTCGAGCGACGGACAACCGGGACTTGTCGCGGGGAGGGATGGGAGTCGGGACGAGAGGTGGCCGTCGTTCGTCAAGCGTGTCACGACGTTTAACGACTCTTTTATACGCGCGGACAAGTGGACTGACATCGACGCGCCGCGTATTATTATAACCTAAGCGGGAGGGAGACGCACCCGATCGGGAGTGAGATCCTCGTACGACGTCAATCCCTTGTAACAGGAGCCGCAACAGTTGCCCATGCTGGATCGTTACCCGTGTAAAACGCCACGCGGTCGTTTCGCTGGAAACGTCGTCGTTAAATTGGATCAACGACGGGCGGCGTGCGTATGACAGATCCGAGCAATGGCTGTCGTCAACAATCGCCGACGGCCATATGTGCGCGCAGTGTTGTGCCCTGGGTTCCCTGGCACCCGCGAACGAGTGGATTTAAAAAAGTGGGCACCTGCACGAAGGAGCGATTAGCATGGGTGCTTTGGCGGGGCTCCCTTCATTTTTATCAATTCATATGACTTTTTTCATAAAAAAATGTATCAATGCATTATCGATCAAATGCATGAATACAACTCGTAACATTTTTTCTTTATTTCATTTTGTCGGCGACCGGGTCTGAAGTTTCGCGTACCGATAGATAAAATTCACAACTGTAACATACTTAAATTTCAATTTTTTCTACTTTCGGTCGGTTTTTGCAGGAGCCACCTTAAGGATGTATTGGACGTACAATCTTAGACAAAAGTGCATGAAATTGGAAATACTTAAATATCTACTCTTAACGCATAGTAAATGTAGATGTAAGAAACTTAAACGATAGTTGGAGTCTTATTTGTATTCCTACAAAGGTATTTTTCACTTTACAAATGTTTTTTCCTGAATTATTTGCGATTTTTTCACTTATGAGCCTAAACTTTTGATATTTTCAAAACTAAAAAATTCGTACCGACAGCACAAATACCTCAAGTTACATTTTATTATATTTTGTTTCTTTAAAACGGTGCAGTAAAGACTATTGAAACTTGGTAGATATTTTCATCTATTCGTATACTAGATGTATAAAAAAATTCAAAACACTGGTACTATTTCTTCTACATTTTTTTATCTGTTTTATCCGTGAAGATCGGCTTTTCCCATAAGACTACGTGTAAAATCAGTGTAAATTAAAATAGTTATATCTCAGCAACCATTTAGTGGATGCATTTTTACTTTTCTGCAATAAATTAAAAAGACTAAAAGAACAATTTCACAAATTTTTAGCGACTTTGTACTATTTTGAAGATAGGTCCGATACATCCTTAACTGGCGCACCGACGAAAACTCGCTCGCGACGAGGAAAGAACAGATAAAATGAAAACAAACTTGGCACGAGAATCACGTGTTTTTCTAATTATATTACGTGCAGTTCTTAAATTTGCAAAAAGACCACGCATTCTTCAGCCCTGCTTGAAATATTAGATACGGTCTGCAGATTACATTAGATTATATGCAATTTCACTGTAAATAAATAAGTCTTAGTAATCTAATGTAATCTGATCATATTCTATTTAATATTTTTAATAGGGGCGCGCTTTTTACTGTAAAAAAGTTAAATAAGTAAAAACTCAAGAAAAATAATTTTATATATAAAATATGTCTTTTGGTTGTACGTTTTCTTTCTCTTGTAAAATTTCTGGCCGTGTATAACGAGAAAAATAGTAAGAGGAAAAATTAAAAATAAACCAGGATTATCTTGGCATTGGTTTCTTTTTACAAGAAAGTTAAGTTTGAAGAAATAGAATAAAAGTTGCTTGCACCCTAATAATTGCGTATAATAAATTGCAATTTTACTTTCTGCAAAGTAAACAATGCAAAAGTCAGTTTTCCAATTATTCTTTAATTCTTCTTCATCTTATTTTTCTTGTATCTACAGAAATGACAAGAGAAAGAAAACACACGTGTTTTATCTATAATTACATAATTTCTATCGGGAGTCTTGAGTTAAAGAAATTTGTTTCTCACCCACTGAGCGCTTTAAAAAATAATTTTATGAAACAATACTAATTTAATTGTAAACCACATTTGAATTGCTCGAATCATCGACGATCGGTCATGTCGATGTTCTCCAGTTAATGCGGATACGAAAATGTCTCTGCGCTCACAGCTGGCGGGTGGTCTCGTGATAATAATTCGTCAGTGATACCGAGCAATTACCGTGCGATAAGTCTTATCGCAAACGACCCCCCGCTGTCTCCGGCTTGTTAGAAGCGACAAGTACACGGTATCCACTGCGCTGCGTTTACGCTTGCATATACAATAACACGCGGGCGCCTAATGCAATTTATCCCGGAGAACGGAGTTTAGAGCGTGCGTTTCAAGAACGAGCAAGGCGAGATAACGAGAGGATCCGATTATTTCGTCGGCGCAATTATGAGGCGACGCGCGGAGCCGTCCCTCTCCCCCGCGCGGGGGATGCTAAACGTCCGGCTCTGAAAACTCCGCGCCTCCCCCCGACCGATAGCTCCGACAGCGGGCAAATTGCATTTTCTTCGTTACTTGTATATTAGCGCTATCATAGCGTCTATTCTGCGCCACGGGCGAATCGAGTTTCGCCCTCCGTGCGCCCTCGCGCCCGACTTTCGAATGCGCGCCCTCCGCGCGCTCCCGCACGTGTCAATTCGCCCCCCCCCCCGCGCACCCAGCTGGATTCTGCTACCGCTGACCGTAAAACTCATTCAATTTCCCGCGGCGTAAAATTACGTTTAAAATAACATCGTGACTCTCTGCAGAATTTGACCCGAAAGAAAAAAAAAAAATAAGCGGGAAATTTCCAGGGGGATTTGATAATCGTTGCATAAAAAATTAACGCTATCAATACCGTCCGTATTTCCGCCGTTTTTTTTCGATGTTTTCCGATATATTTGCCTACCGGATATTTAAAAAAAAGATCTAACCCGTGCAAATATACATGTTAAACAAAATTAAAAATGTACTGGGAGAGAGAGAAAGAGAGAGAAATATATTCAAAATGTTTGCAAAGTCATCAAATTCCCTGTAACACCTCGAGAACAAAGTGTTGTTCGATTACAAAAAAAAAGGATAATTATAAAACAGTTCTAGGCTCATCTCGATTAAAATCTCGATCGACGCACACGCGCTCCCAGGCGTTTTCCCGCTCGGGAAGTCCCCTTTATATCCCTCCGTACTAATTGAAGATACGATTACGCGTTTACGCTCTTGGAACACCTTTTAGCGACCTAAATCGAGGCGAGCGTTGTACGGCAGGAAGCCGCCCCAATGTACATCGGCTTTCCGCTATTCACGGCGATACGTATGTCTTCTCTTATTAATGTCGGCACAGCTGGCGAACATCGCGCGGCACGGCCGACGAGAATTGGGGAAAATTAATTGTCGTCTTCGCCGGAGAGCGCGCGCTCCATCTCTTCTCGCCGGCGCGGCGGCGAAGGGACCGCGGGATATCCAGCAGCGTTACACGTTGTTTGCACTCGCGATTAATCAACGTTCCCGGCCACTCCCGATATCAGGACCCGGGGGGAATCCAATTCGCTCGGTCGTGCCGCGCCCACTTGGGACTTCTCTTCGCGGAAGAAAAAATAGAAAAAAAGGGGGGGGAAGCTTTCCCGCTCGTTACTTGTTGAGCGTTCGACGCGAAAACTCCGTTGCCGAAAGTCTCGAGGAGGCTCTCTCGAAGACCCTCGAGACGCATCTACGAATATCAGTTCCCCTCCCTGTCTCCCCGGTATATTGTTACGGTAAACCGCAGCCGGGGATGTATTTCGCCTCGAAGCCCGAAATCGACGAGATATTCCTTTTTTTTCCCTCTTGCGTCTGGCGGAGGTTTATAATTTGCCGCGAGACGACACGTGCCTAGCGTAAAATTTATCTGTACAATAAGGCTGGTATTACATCCCACACAGAACAAAATATCTAATAGATATCTAATAGATATCTACATATCCATATGATATCCATATCTACTATGGATAAGTCCACCAAATAGCTACCAAAGATATACATTAGATATTCAAACTAGTACCATCTGCTGCCGCGACGCGGCAATCGCACGTTACACTTTCTCATAATTAAAAATCATTCTGCATTAATATAAAAGGCGAGCCCACGAATTAATTCAACATTATCTTTGCTGACAAAGCGAGCAGAATTTGAAACACATATCATATGTAGTTATGCATGAACAAATTTCGTACATATTTTTACACAACTGCGTACAGCATTTTGTAACTAATTATAAACGAAAAGTTTTTTAACGGACAAATATGAATATCAATATCTGGAATGTTCAGTCGATCCAACTGGCAGAAACGTTAGTTGGGAAATTTTGCATTTACTATGTTTCGACCATCCGTATTGTGGTCCTTATCAAGTAGTTGGTAATGTCCTCAGGTTTTATATGACATTCAAAACTTAGGAGAAACAAAAACAGTAAATGCTTTCAATACACTGCTACATACCTTAATAGACATTGATTAAAATTATCGAAGAAATATTAATATAAAAATACATGAAATGGATATCTATGGAACATCTATATAAATATCCACTAGATACTGATATGGATGTCTAATGGATATTGGCATAAATATCGTATGGATATCTAGTAGATCTCGTATTGCGGACATGTGGATATCTAATGCACGTCTAATGGATATCTCTTATATATTCATGGATATCCCTGATATCCGTCGAGGATATTCATTGAATATCTAATAGATATTTATGTTCTGTATGGGATTTGTCGCACGACAAATTTGTCAAGCGTGTTGATTGCCTGCGGGATAGAAAGGTTGTCGAGTATCTAGAAATTTTCTAGCTTGTAGCCAATCAACACTTAAATAATTTGTCGTACGACAAATGCAATGGTACTCTGAGGGCCAGTTGCGGAAACGTCGGTTAACCGTTAATCAGGCTTCAGTTGGCTCCCTATATATGTTTCTCTATTAAGGTGGCTCCTGCATAAACCGACCAGCGGTAGAAACAATTGAAATTTAAGTATGTTGCAGCTGTAAATTTTATCTATCAGTGCGCGAAATTTCGGACCCGGTCGCCGATAACATAAAATAAAGAAAAAATGTTAAAATTATATTTTTTAATATTCCAGTAAACACCAAGTAATAGTTGCATAACATCAATATTATAATTTCCTGCTCAACAAGATGAATGTAATAAAACACCCATGTTATATTATATTTATGTATAATACATTGTTAAATAGGACATTATAATATTGATATTATGTAACTATTGGTGCTCACTGGGGTTATGGGCCGATCGCTCGCAGAAGCACTTTGAGAGTTAATATTATTTTATGGAAAAAGTAGATCTTAACAAAAAAGCGGGATACACATAATAAATGTCACAAGGATTCAAATGTGCTATATATGAGATCACCGGCCTCTGCAAGCAAGTACCTACTTATTACCCAGCAAACACCAAAGTAACAGTTACATAACATCAATATACATGCCTGTTATGTTACATTTTCTTTGATGTTATGTAATAGTTATTTTGGTGTTTGCCGGGTAGTAAAGTCAAGGGATACAATGTTTCGAGGGAATTTGACAGCTCTTTGAGACTTGACTGTATCACATATTTTTAAATATGTTTTTAAATACGCATATATAACTTAGCATATCAATGCACTGAGTGGTATTATTTTATGAAAAAAGTTATATGAATTTATAAAAATTAAAGGGGCCCCACCAAAGCACCCATACTAACCGCTCTTTCGGAGCCACCTCCCAGATAGCACATATAGTTCTATGAATATTCTTCTGGAGTGCAAATATTCTCGATTTCCAAATATTCCAATCGAATATTCTATAAATCTATATAGATTATTACAATCAGAAATCATATATTCATAACAAAGAAGAGCGTTTTTAGAATAGTCGTCGAGAACGTCTTTGGAATATTCGTTCGGAATAATTTTTGCATATTCATCGAGTTTATGTATTGCACATTGTTTATTGTGTAATACATTAATTTTATGCAAAAGGCAGCGAAACCTGAGATCATACCGTATATAACCGACACGCTATATTCGATAGATTATTCTATTCACATTCGAAAAAGATTTATAGTAATGCCAGGCGAATGCTTCACGAACATAAGATAAATATATAAGAATGACCTATGAAATATTCCAAATATTCCTGAAGAATATTCTTAAAACATTCATAGGAGTGTCTTGTGCCATCTGGGCTTAACAAGAGACAGAGAATCAATTAACCTGCGGTTAGCAGTTAACCGACGTTTGTGAAACTGGTCTTAAGCAGTGAACTGTCGTAACAACATTTTTACGTTACGGCTATTGCATACAAAATGATCGATTTTGTCTTGATGTCAACTGAATGTTCCAAGTATTTATTGTATTATTATTTTCCGAAAAGAAATATGTTCTCAAACAAACTTTAGAATATTATACGAATATTATAAAAGACATTAAAAGACCACTTATAGAAATACAAGATGATTTCGGCTCTCCCGTATAAATTTGCTAAATGTCAGTTACGACGGTTGACCTCTCAGGTACAGAATTATTAATATTGTACGAGAGCTATATGTAATAAAAGGTAATAAGAAATGCCATTAAATCGTTTTCGATGATACTCTTTGACACTAATAATTAAATATTTCCTGGCGTGACATTTATTTCCTTTATATTATTAAGGAAAGGTCCTTTTCAGACGTATCTATTTATATATAAAGAAAATCAGAGGCCAATTCTTGTTCAGTCTACATGAATAATTAACGCACCATCGTTAGTCAACAATGCAGTTGTCGTATAACGCTAAATGTTCGAGATCTCGACGGGATTGCACGTTCAACATATTATACAAGAGAAAGGGAGAACTACGGAGTACTTTTTCTCAGCACCGTGGCATTCATTAGCATCACGACGTGGTTAAATAACCATCGGCAAGTTTTTTATGCATTCATACAAAACCGGAGAACGACTTTTCCCATCGTAGACCCGGGGACGGAGGTGCACGTGCCTCGGATAATAGGAAACAAGAAACAAGCGGAGAAAGAGGCGGAGAAGGAGGAAGAGATGAGGAGATTATGCTCTTGGCAATGGCGCGCAATTATAGAACACGCGGCAAACTTTCGCAATATCTGTGCCCAACTTTCATTGCTTAATACAGACTGCATTCTAAGGCGTGAGTGGCTTTTTAACCTTAGTCCGCGCGCGCCCGTTACTCCCTTCTTTCGCATATATATTAGCCACTCCGTCTCGCGGATCTTCATCACACAAATGCAACGCCCAGCGAGATTCGCGCAGCTTTAATCAATGACTCGCTATTAATAATAAGCAGTAATGAGACTCTCTACCGCCTCCTTTCATTCTACATTCCGTGTTCTTCGTCCCCTATTTATTTTCGCCCGCGTCCCCGCTGTACGTTACGAAACTTTCAATAAAACCTGTAATATAACTACAGCTAATTAAGATAATCCCAGACAGCACGCATGTTTAAAAAAAGTTATAAAGATATCTTTAAGATATCTTTTATATGTAAATGTCTAAGAGACAACTTAATGACGCCTTAAAGATGTGTTATAGCGAATAGCACTGAGTGCACACTAAGGCCAGTTTATGGTCAATTTTTTTATCTAACTTTGTCTTAAATACACGTTCAAAGAGTATTTAGCCAAAAAATGATCCGTATGAATGCTACACAGATCATTTAACTGGCGAAATATCCCTAGTAGCACAATATATTGGCACGATATTGGGAAATAATGTAAATCTAGTATTCCCAATATTGATCCAATATTATAAAATGGACGCCTTTTCTTATTTAGTCAATATGTCTATTCAGCAATATTGGTCTAATATTGTATCAATTTTAAGCCAATATTCTAAATTCATTGTTAAATATTGGCCAATGCACTCCCGATGTAAAAAAATGTTATTGTCAGTAAAAAATTAACCAGGTGTTTGCAACGTACTTGCAAACGGTGTAACCGTCAATAAAACTCCTCATGAACAATATAACTATCTACCAAACTCTTCATAAATAAATATAAACATCATCTCTTAAAATTTAAAATTTAAATTTTCGCCAGGGCACGGCGAGACGCAGTTACGCGCTCAATCCGTCGCTAGTGTCGCTGCGGCGGCAGTTCGCGAACGCGCCGCTACGCGTCGCAGGCGTGTATCAGTTACTCGTGTTTAAAATGCAACCTCGACTAGCATAAATTGGGAGCCGGCACGGCTGAAAGCATACTTACCTGGCGCAGAGGTTACCGTGATCATCAAGGCGGTTCCTCCAGGGTGAGGCTCTTCCATTGCACCTCGGTTGAGCTGACCCTTGCGAATATCCCTAATGTGGATATCTCGGGCGTACAATTTTTGATAGTCGGGACTGCGTTCGCGCTATCCCGGTGATAAGACGAGACAAACAGAATAGCCAGGCGACTCCCTAGCAACCACACTCGGAAACAATGTTTACGAGCGGGGGAAAAAAGTAGACCCCGGGCAAGAGAAGTAGTTCTGTTCCGCAGTCGAGGGGGATTTTCCTCGACTTCTATGGAGAAAGTTGCTCCGCGCTTTTTATTAAAGCTCTGTCAACCCCCTTTATTCTCGCGTACAATGACGCTAATACTTAACCGTGTGCTAAGTGTTAAGATAATTTTTTGGTTATTCTTTTTTTTACATCTTTGCATTTCACACAGAAATCTGAACTTTTATGCGTGAGATTATAAATTGTGTAGCAAATAATTAAATATGATTAATAGCTAAAGTAGGACGAATGAGAATAAAAATATGATTAATAATTCGATAAAGATATGAAAAAAATATATGTATAAGTTTAAACGCATAACGAATATTTTTTCCCCATATATATATGATATATTGTCGCAATAAAATATGTTTTAGCGGATCACTATGGGATCGCACCAATACTGTTAAATATACATATTTTAAATGTTTTCCCGGATTTTTGAATTTTGCCAGATTAAATTTTGAAATATTTCTACTTTGCGACATTCTCTGTCGATACAAATAATAGAGAACGTGACGAAATTTATTCCCCAATTCTTCGCATTTTTCGATAACAACAGTATTGATTCGAACACATCGCGAAGTCGGGGCGTCGATAGCGATACGACGCGTCGAATCTTATCGCGCTCGCGCGGGGTGGTATCCTATCGAAAATCGGCCAAAGACTCGCGGCTGATAGCGAACATCGAATATCTCCGAGCGTCGAAGATAAGCAAGTCTCCCGGCGTTATCGCCGCGAGCCGAGCCGTTTTCTCCATTGAATGAACGCGGAGTAAGACGTATGACGTAAGGTCCCGAGACGGGGGTGGGCCCCGTGCACGGTACGAATTGTTGCCCTTTAAATTCCATTAAAAGCTGCAGGCACTAAATCGTGGCGTCCCGTGAGAACAGACGGGGCATGCGTCCAGCCAGGTGCCGGCTGCCGCTGCGTTTCCCGTGGGAGGTGCGCCGAGAGTACGAAAAGCAAGGACGCGACGGGGTCGGGCGAAGGCGCAACATAGCGCGCGCCTCGTTACGCTCTTCTCGCGCTCGCGGGGTTGAAACTCGGCTCAGTTGGACTGCGACACCCTTCGCCGGAGGGTCGGGCGCGACGGCAGCGGTGGTCCGCGGAAAATCACAATCCGACGCGTGTCGCAGAGCGGCTCTCCTCGTACCTTACTTCCGTTCCTCCGACACCCGCGGAAATAAATGTACAACGCGGCCGGATATAATAATATTATTAAAATCTTTAAATTAATAATATTATTAAAATACCAAAATTTTTATTTTAATTGAAAAACTGCGAAATACACGCAGGAGAGGCATCAAGGAACCCGGACTGACTTAAGGGGCGGCGATTATCTTGTATTTCTGTTAAAAGAGTGTGTTAAAAAAAATACGTAAAGGAGATTTTGTTTAACTGTGCGAGGTGCGCTCTCGCGGAATCGCGCGATTTAATGATCGGTAAATGTCGACGGTGGTAAACGTTAAACAACGAACTGTGGTTCCAAGCATGAGCCCCGCTGAAACCGAAGCTCCGCTGTTCTCTCGGGAAGACTAGGGCTCGATATCCGTCGAAGGCCGGTATAGATCGATATGCCGACGATTGATCGCGACGAGTCGCTGTAAGGTAGCGAGCCGTGAGTAAGGTAGTGAGTCGTGACGCGTTACGCCGCGTGGCACGTGCGTGACGTTTCGACGACTGTCGCGGCGGGACCAACGGCCCAAGGTCGTAGTGGCCGCTGGCGGTGAGAGCAAGGTCGTCGGGGTCGCGAGAATCGCGAGCGGAGAATGTGGAGGAAGGACGCGACCAGGCTGGCCAGGCTGATCGTCGTCGCCACGCTCATTTCCCTGACCGTTGACGGGACCGCCGCCGGCAGCTGCAGCTCCGCGAAGCTCTGTTGCCAGGGCAGGGACTCGGGCTGCGTCATTCAGAAGGAGTCGCCGAACGCGATTATCGAGAGCCCGCGCGACAAGCCGTGCTACTGCGACCACGCGTGCCTCAAGCTCGCCGATTGCTGCGACGACTTCAAGGAGACCTGCGGCGGTACGTGCTTGGGCGATTTTGCAGGAGGGACTTGCGGGCGGGCAATGTCGGCACGAAATTGGAAACGAAGCCGGACGATGATTCGTTTATTATAAAAAAAAAAAATTATTTTGACAGACATATGTTCCCCGTTTTTTTAATCGATTTGAAAATGACCGATTATCTCTTTTCCCCTTTTCCGAGTAGTCGGCCAGAAATTCATTTTTAGCTTGATTGAATTTTTTATACTCATTTGAAAATAAAAATTGCCACGTATTTTCTCTGCGCAAGAAGCAGAATGGAACGTAAATGCTGCAAATGTTTTTTCACAGTTGCAAGGAAAATTTTGTAATAAATATACCGTTACTATTTTTCTAACGTGAGAGATATACTAGTGTAATTGCAATTAATATTTCTACATAGTCGCATATTGGAGTCACAAATAGGCTGTTACTAAATTACAAAATGAATGTTACAAAAATAATTATTTGTAACAAAGCCTGGTAAAATGGAGGTGCCGCGAAATAAGAAATGCCGATACATCAATTAATCAAACTTGGGAAGGTGTAATCCACTCTTAAGAGAAAATCTCACGGAGCATTGATTAATTAGTAGACGACGGTCCGTCTCTACTTATTCGCGCTAAGCACGCGCTTAAAACACACGTACACACTCAACATGTCTCAGATTTTGTAGGATTACTGGATTAAGGACATATTCTGTAAGTAACGTTCTTGCTTTAGCATCTTAGGGTGACTGCGGGTCACCTCGGATCATTAAGCGACTTACTGTAAAGTTTTTGATATCAGTGATCGCGTCGTCGGCGGGGAATTTTGTCGGCAGGGTTTTGCGGATAAATTTTGTGCGCGCGGGAGCTTTTTTGTCCGGGCGGAGGGTCCATTATTTTTCGTTCTTCACATCGACGTATCAACAGCGTGCGCGATATGTGATTCATTTTTCCCTACGATGCCCTTAAAACCAATATCCACTTCCAATTTTCGATCAAAGCAACCACACATGACCGCTCAAAAAGATGCTGATACTGCGTTACCCGCTAGTATCAACACAATGCCGCACGTTTCGCGAGAATTTAATCAAATATCGAACAATTATCAATCTGACGTGATACATTGATATATTGCATTTAATAGAAACCGACGCGCCCCCGATGATCAAACCGCTTCGAATGATTGCGTCGTGTATTCGGTATATTATCAAACACTGATTATTCTATATCAACCTATACAGTGTCTCGGAATAAATAACGAAGATAATTTTATAAAGGAAATTAAATCTAAAGAAAAATCAGAGGCGAAACATACGGACAGTAATTTTGTCGTTAAATAGTTTATTGTCCAATAATAGACAAAAACGTAGCGGACGTTTCGACTGCACTGAGATTTTTTTAGCACAATAATTAAAACCAAGAATATGAAAATTTAAAACAATTACATGGCATAAAAAGGTTTGCATGTAAGAGCTAACACGATATAAAGACGATTAGAAATATAATATCGTGGATTAAAAAAATGCGATTAAAAAGTTAGATCGATAAGAAGCTGTGGCAAAGGTCGGAGACACTGTCGCGATTATAAAATAAGGAAGGAAAAATGAGAAGGAAATTGTCGCGGAAATTATCTGTTCGGTAGAATTCATTAAAATTTCTCGGACATTAATTTTTTATATCACACGGCAGCCGAATATAAAGAGAAAACAATGTAGGCAATTAAAAAAATATATGTTTTTGAAGAATAATTCTTTGTGCATGCATATGCGTTTCGCGTTTTGAAGGAATGGCCTGTAGGGAACCATTTCACGCAAAGATCGAGAGAATTATTGTCGCTATATTGTCTATAAGTAAAGACGATAACGCTGACCGAGAGATCAGTTCCGCCGAAGCATAAAAGTAAAGAATATCTTCGCAAATGTACCCCGCAATTTATAGACTGAATCTTCCCTGTTCGCGTTTTCACAGACTTACGGCATACTGTGAAGATAATGAAGTTATTAAGTTTTTTACCTTTACGCACTGAAAAAAAGATCTTGCAACTGCAGCAACAATTTTCTAGGTACGAAAAAATAACCGAGATACATGAATGAATAGCTAATACCGCGAAATCGCACGTGTTTTGTATTTAATCGATTTAAATAATAAAAACAGAATTTCTATCTGAACTTTCTGTGACGCCCGTCCATTACAACGTTCGATGGTGGCGCATAAACATTTGTGTTCCCTACAAAGATTGCTCAAGCTATGGTACCAAAATTCATTTTTATCCAATGTGAATGATTAACATTTACCCATACAGCACAGAAAGTTAAAATAATGTTACTGAAACGTTGCAATGTTGAACGATAAATATACTTTCTACGTTGAATCTACGTTAATGTTTGTACGTTGATTTTTTTAAGTTGCTGCGCCGTTAAAACAAACTTGAACAAATTATTATTTTTTGACACTGAAATAGGTACTTAAAAAATGTATAATTATGAAATTTCAGCACTTTCAACAGTTGTAAAAAATATTCTGCTAAACGCGACCAATGTTAACTCAATATAATTTAATGTTTTCTGAATGTTCAATTGTAACGTTTACAAAACATTACAATTCAGCGGATATCAAACGTTTTTGCAATATCTTTTCATCGTTGAATCTACATTTCGTAAGATTGATGCAATATTGTAATGTTGCAATGGAACGTTTCTAAGATGTTGATTCAACATCTGTGTGCTGTATGGGTTAGTCATGAAACCGAAACTTTCCAGAAGGTATCACTAGAATGTTGCTGCTATAAATTTTGCAGGCTACAAACAATTTTCTAACAGATCCAAAATATAGCGATACAATTTTCTTGTGACACTTAAGCCCGGTTTTTCATTTTCTGGTTAACCAGAGGTTAGTCGATTCTCCATACTTGTCTATACTATTGTCTAAGAAGAGTCAGATAATCGACTAACCTCTGGTTCACGTTTGACCAGAAAATGAACGACTGGACCTTAGAAATCTGCCTTGCGTTAGTAAGATATTTTTTGGAGCGCGAAAAAGTGTTCGCTAGTGTTTTCGACTGCACAGACTCTAATTTCATTGTATTAAACATACGAATAGCTGAAGAACAAATTTACCTTACTTGCAAATCCAATAATGTCTTATCAGTTAATCGCTGTTAATAATGTGCCGCTAATAACAGTTTGTTTATATTTTGTTTATATTTTGTAATATATATCAAGTTTTTATTGTCCGTATTTGCATAATAAACCGTCGAGTTATTTCTATACTGGTGCACAATTGTTCGAAATTTTATGGCTCGCCGAACGACGCGTCTGTTAGTAGCAAAAGGATTAATGTTATTCAATTCACATTTCCGTTCGTTTAACGCGGCCCTGTTTTACCAGGTTTAATTACCAGATAATTGACGGGCATACTATTAAATTGTTCGTTAAACAATGGTAACAACGTCAAATAAAATCCGCGTTTACGCGACTATTGTTTACCGCGGATCAATTATCAATTAAAAAGGCGAAATATTTCGGAGCAAGGTAGACACGCGGAGCCGCCCGCCCGAAGGTGGCAATGATTTTATCGCGTCTGACTGCACTTTCATCTCGTCGGAATGTTCATCTTTAACGCTCTAATTTCTGCGATTTGCGCGGCTGCGACGGATTCCGCAGCGCTCGTCGAAGCCGAAGCTGCACCGGAACGCGATTATTCATGCCTTGCCGGCTGGAGAGAAGTGTCGCTCCTTCCGACTCGAAGATGTCACGCGCCGCAGTTGCGGCTGAAACCGTTTCCTCGAGTGACGCGAAGCCGTCCGTCTGGAAGCGGGATAATCCCGTCTACGTCGTAGGCTCGAAACGAGACGCGAATTTACATACTTTGCGACGGGATCGCGACGGATCGCGAGAGAGACGTGCTCGGACGGCAGCCGATTTCCGTAGATCCCGGCATCCGTGCCTAATGAAGTGTAAAGATTACACGCCCTCGCGTAAGGAAACACCCGGGCGTCCGTGATCTGTTCTCGACGCGAATTTATAACATCGGCCTCCTTATCATTTTTAACGCGCGTCAAGAAAAGGTGGCGCCCAGCTCATTCCGCGAAAGCGGCGCTCAGCATTTCGGGCGTGATAAACCAGCGAGGGGGAGCCGGCAAACGAAAAATGATCATGATGTCGCTAAGCGTCTCGCCCATGGTTAATGATACTTCGACAGTAACTTTGCGAATTTATCTCCCGAGATAACGCGGGGAGAAAGTCGAATGCGCACGAGAGACAATTCTTTCCCCCCAACGCGACGAGCGCGTAAATTGCCGACGGCATGCAACATGTGACATTTTATATCGATCGTTATAGACCGGTACGCATTATTTCCCCTATTTCCCCCCATATTGCTGAACGGGTCTCCAGCAACGCGCACATCATTCGACCACTCACCGGACCGTCGACCGGCGGGCGCGCGAAATAATTTAGTCCGAGCGTACAATCGATGGACGAGCGGACACTGGTCGAGCAGCGATCGCGCCCGACGAGGAGCCGCCAACTATGAACGCCGTACAACTATAAAAGAAGCGATAAACAAGTAGTTATATTCATGCCGCAGTTCGCGCCGCAGCCTAATGCAAAATGTAACTCGAATTTTACTCCGCAGCTGCGGCCACGGCCGCGGCCGGTTCGCCCCCGATGAAATATTCCACCCATATTTGTGACTGTCCCGTCCGCACGGCCGGTCGTATAATAAATCTTTAAATTATCACTGATTGGAAAACGAGGAATGAGATCGCAGCGAGGGAAAATTGAAAATGCTAATAATTATATTAATACATCAATATGTGCGTGCGGGGGGCACAAATGTTGCGATTATATACAATAATTACATTAATAAGGTAACGTACGTCATTTAATTATGCGCGATTCGCGATGAAATGCGAATATAAAATTATACCAAGTATTTGATGTAATTTTATTAATTCGCGTGCCATTTTCGTACCCTCATTAGGCGCCCTATTTATGATACATTTCACTCCGCAGTCTTTTCAAAGCGAACCTCTTCTCTCCATTTTAAAGATGAAAGCGCAAAGTGTCGTTTATGTAAATACTTTTCTCTAATTGCTTTTTCAACTTGCGTAATGACGTTTTATTACGGGAAAGAAACATCTTAGAAACGTGAAATAAATTGTATCGTCCGACGGGGAAAACAAGATCTCCCGGTTAATTGCTCGGCTCTCGCTTAACGTTGCCGTGAAAATTTCGGCGCGCGAAATAACGGCTGCTCGATATTTCGCTTAAAACGCCGTTTAATTAACGCCGTTGACGTCGGCCGTTCCATTTTTTCCAAAATGTCGCGATACTTCTGTTCTCGATGCATCTCGCGCAAAGTGGGGCGGCAGCGCGTTAAATGAATTTCCACCCTTCGCGTCCTACGCGCTCCTTAATGGAGAGGAGCATCGGCGATTGCCGACGCGTTTATCGCGTTTTTACTCATCTCAAATTGTGTCCCTTCATTCTCCTGGCAATACGGCATAGTAACGAGGCGAAATGCGTTTCGGAGGGACGCTCGTAAATTGTGATTTCTGCGAGCTACCCTTTCACGCGCGCGGCGTAAAATATCGGTAAAATAACGCGCACGGTCCTCTTTCTGCGTGCGCGCGCGTGTCTCGTGTTCCAGCTTTAACATTTTATTGCGGAAAGTCATACGTGTCCTAATTAAAAAATATTACAGTTGCGTTGTCGCCGCTAGAATGGAAGCTGCGAGGGACCGAAGCGATAGGGGATCGGGAACGTCCCGTTATCGATTTGCCGATTGCGTTCTACCAGCGCGGCACTTTGGGGACAATTTTATCGTTCGTCTGCGAGAAACGAGCAGATGGCCAGATCTTAACGTCGCGTTCATTCCCTCCTTACAGTGGTCGACTGCGCGGTGAGCGAATGGAGCCCGTGGACCCTCTGCGATAACGGATGCGGAAGTGGCACTCAAAGGCGCAGCCGGGTGATCGAGATCTCGGAAAAGAACGGCGGAAAGCACTGTCCGCGCTTGGACCAGGTCAGGACGTGCCGCAGCTTCCAGACATGCCACGCCGGGATTCGCTCGCAGCCGCACGCTAAAAGTGAGTGTCGATCGATCACGGGCCGGGAGATAAGTCGCATTTTACTTTAAGCGGAATATTCCCAAACGGTGAGAGCTAATCAATTTTATTGGACTCGTTCAATTTATAAAATGCAATTAATCGCATCGCGAATCGCACGAGGTCATTATCTCGCGCGCGCGTTGAAATAACTGCTAAGATATATCATCGATATAATCAAATAATAGTTTTTCTTGCAATAATTATTACTCGCGACAATTATCGCCTAATCAATTGAGGATTAAATTCGGAGGGAGTTTGGGACAAAAGGAGAAAGGATTTCTTTCCATATTTTTCCTTGCGTTTCTCCGTGAACACGCAATAATTCGACATTCTCCGAGCATTTTCCCCGTCCAAGAGAGTAAGAAGAGAGCCGGATTATCTACGATTGTATCTACCGCGATACGAAATTCTTGACGTCTGTCTACCGTTGCTCGATCCTAGGCGAATTCCTTTCATTTGCCGCAGGTGTGACGCTTCTTGCGCTTTTTCCGGGCGACGGCAACAGTACGGATGTAAGGATCAAGGATAGGATCGTCGATAAGAGGTAGGTCAAGCCCCCGCGCTTAGTCTTCGTGCGAAATGCGATTTGCCGCACATGCTCCCAATTCTCCGCTGCAGCAACAACGTCTTTCCCGTTTTCTCGATTGGCGCAGCGCGAAAATAGACGAAACAAGGACCGAATCCGGAGGGAAAATTAGAGCGCGGAATTGTTTCGCGCGATCGAACTATAGACTCGGTCGTTCGTCAATACCGAGGCTCTTTAGTTCTTCAGTTCGATTAGACTATCGGAGTAAGTACTCGATTGGACAAACGACACTAGACTGCCGTGTCATTTGCTGCGGACCACGGATGTTAATGTGCTTAACGTGTAACGCATTTACCCCTTATATTCCACGCCCTCGTAATGCGCCGTCGAATGGCACAATTAATAATCTTCAATCGCATTTTGTATGCATTATTAATGGCGCGGGAGCGTTCGCGCGTAACTGATGAGTTGACGTCCTTAATTTTCAAAGTTCGTTACCCCTTTCGCGCGATCAAGCGTTACGATTCAATTCCATTAAAAGCTTCCTCCAGCTCGGCGAGGGATATCACCCCCGAGGGCGGGGAAGGGGTGTATTTTTAATCCCGCGCCGCTGTAACCAAGACAGAATCGCCGATGTGTCGAGGATCTAATTTGACACGTGCTCCGACCTGTTACAAAACACGTAGCAAACATCGCGTCACAGTATCGAGACTCCCCTGTGGCGTTATGTCGTGCGAGTAAAGCAAGCTACGAGGCCGCCATGCAACGGAGCCCTTTGGGCTCCGTCATACGGTGCGTGACAGTACGGTGGTTAACGAGAAAACGTGCAGCGGAGCGTGCAAATTTTATTACGGGCTTTGCGATATTTAATATAAAAATCGATGTCACGCACGTTTCAGAGACAGCTGCGTTGCTTTCACCATTGTGCGGGTCTCGCGGGGCTGCGGCAAGACTTCGGATTTGCTCTCGGAAGGTTTGTATGAGTAACAGTACGCTCGCGCCGGCAATAGCCGATCCTAATCTTAATCGGAAATAGGAGGATTTATTTAACGGGACGCTATTTTCATGATCGAGGTCGGAGATTCAAATATTCGAAGAATAAGCCGTTCCGCCTTAAGATATCGCGACCTTCCTCTTCCTCTTGGCACCGAATTTGTTACAGCGGTTAAAATTAGCTCTTCCCTTTGACGAAGATTGAAAAAGAATTCACCGTTCGATATGTGCCTTTTCAATTCTGCATTCATTCCCAGGCCTTTTTTCGTTACCCTATATAAATTATTAGCCGTTTGCATCGTTTATTTATGCGTGCCATGCACATTTAAATCTGAAATTGCGACATTTTTAATGTCGTAAAATTTCAAGTAATCCGCTTCTCGGAACGTTGGGATAAATCAGAAACTTTATGCCAGATCTTCATGTTAAGAATGAATATCAGATGCTTAGTGAAACACCGCGGAGCTTATAAAAAGAGTATATATTGCAACGAGAAGGAGGAAAAACAACGGCGGATGCTCCGCATACCAGCCATTCTTTTTCGCGGTTAAGTCCTCGGTCCCGCGCGTTCAAGTTTTTTCTAACCATAATGCTTCGAAGAGACAATAGACTTGTCTTCTTACGAAAAACGTTTCGCATCTCTCGCGGCGGTACGTAAAACTCGGGATTACGCTTCGAGCGAAAAATTATCGCTCCGCGAAAGTCTTCTCTCTTAGCCGCCTGACATTATGATAAAAGCAAAATTCCTTAGTCCGCGTGCCCGGCGAGTTTCAAACTTGCAATATTAATTTTAACTTTTTGATATTCTCATTTACATCGCGCGAAACACGAGAGTCGGGAAATCGCGCGTTTATACGTCAATAAATGTGTACGTTATTTAAAAAAAGGGGGGGGGGACAAATCCTGTACAAAAAAATTTGTGCCATTAAAGCTTCCGTACGCGCGACCGAGATACAATTTCAAATATTTACTGTGTAAAACGTATAATGTAATTTTGCCTTACAGGATTACAACTGTTTCCATAACTGTCGCATTATATTTTATCTGCGTGACTTAATGACGTAAAAAGTGGAGGTAACTGCTCCGTTAGTCCTGTGATTGTAATTACCCGCGTTTAAAAGGAACGGAAGGAAATCTTTTACTTGCATGGAGGCGTGTAATAAGACGGCGCCTTTAACCGGGTCTAAACTCCTCGAATTCTGAATACGAAATTCGCATAATGACGAATCGCGCCCGCCAAGGTGGAAATGAAGCGACTCGATCTAGTCTCAATTAATGTGCGCCGCGGTTGCGCGACGTAACGTCATGTAAATTAGAGCGTGGCTCCCGCGACGCTGCTCTACGACGGCTGTTATCGCGGAGGAATCGACCGGATGAAGTGGATGCGGTAGTGGAGATAACGGTTGTTTCCTACCGGCGACATACTGAGGCAGATAAGCCACGAAGCGCGGAAATCTGCGGACGAAAGCAGGCTATTTTGATGGCTTACTTATTATCTCCTCAATTATCTCGCTGTTAAATTAGCTATTTTATTTTCCACACCTTACGCCTTTTCATTCAATTATTTTGCCTTTCGTGATTACTGAGAGAGTAGAACAACCTAGGCTGCTTTGATGTTTCCCCGTATGTTACGTAGAAAAAAAAGTCGTTATTAACGGAAGGATATTTAATTGCCGAGGAAACATACGACAGAACAATTCATTTGGACCCTTTTCCGATAGGATTGTGCCAGATATTAAAAAGAGATTACGAGCTAGGGCTTAAGTTAAGAACGTACGTTTAGAGTTTAACGACATAAAAACGATTCGTTATATCGAGTGTATAATTAAAATTACACGCCGTCGACTGGAAGCAAAAACGGTGAGCGATTAAAATCACCGCAGGTTCGCGGATTTGCGTGGAGCGTCCCGGTAACGAGAGCCTGGACAAATACGTGGGCATCGGCAGGTGGCAGCTATCGACCGATATTGCCGGTAGCGGCAATCGGCGCGGCCGATCGGCCAATTCGACCTGCCACGGGAAATGGATCGGCGATTCGCGGCTGGTGGATTGTCACGATCCGCGATGCGTCCAATCGAGCGAGATGTCCCCGTACACCTCGCAACTGTTCCGAGGCCGACGTCGCAGGGGCGCGAGCGGCGATGCCGTCGTCAGCAATACGGATAGAGTCACGAGAAGACGGAGGAGAGGCAGACGACGGAAGAGGAGTAGAAGAAGAAGGCGCGCTGTCGCTGTCGCGGAACGGTGAACGTTCTCCGGAGCTCTGTCACAGCTCCCGCGAGTGTCATCGGTGTTAGAACTCCCTTTCTCCCCCTCCCCCTCCCCCTCTCCCTTTCCTCGTCCATCATTATGCAGGGTGTATCGTGGGACGTCGAGGACACTTCGGGATCAGATTCTTTGATGAAGCGTCCGTTTATTTTTTTCGTAGCGAAAATATCGCGGCGCGTCGATTTGAAATTGTAATTAACTGAAGGCCGACGCCACTTCGCAAATTAAGCTTCAAAGCTACAGGCAGATGGCGAGCACGAGGGGGAGCCTGCTCTTATTTAAGTTCAAGTGTACTTTAATAGGATTTTAATTTGAGACTATTTGATTACCGAGGCATTTAATTTTAAAGAATAAGAAAAATGGTGTCCAATTAAATTCTCGCCGGAGGAAAAATCGGCCCTGAGTTAATCAAAGAGTCCGTTCTTAAAGTACATGTAGACTATATGTATTATGATATACACCCTGTGTACTTAATCTAATACTACCACTCGACGATTTCGTTATCTCTCATATTTAATTTCTCTCTGGCATCATTTACGCCGATCGCCATTCTTATTTATTTAGTTACCATCGGACCTCTTTCTACGCTAAATGTTCTCGGAGGGCTGGAGCTACGGAACAAGGAATAAAATCTACTCCAATTTCTTTCGCCCTCTTTCCCCGCCCCCTCCCCTTCTACTACTTCGGCTGGACGTTACAATCGTACGGACCCATTGCCTAGATTATTCCGATAATTATCATATCGATTTTATCATTAGCGCAAGCTTGCGAAACGTCCGTCGGGAGAGGAGCGAATATCTTATTCCCTTTGGAGGGAATCGCAAGATAATCGATATCAGCGACGTTAGAATTATGATTTACGCGGAGATTGTGAATTTAATAAATTGCCGGGCGGCGACGCCCGCGAGAGATAAGAATGCCGCGGGAACGGGTGTTGATAATATACATGTTGCATTAATTTATTACTTTCCTCTATCTCTCCCTTCTATTCGGATTTCGCCCAGTCTAATATATTGTACGCGTTTGTCGGATAGATATGAAGTATATATATTCGTAGCGAGCGGAACGAAAAGAATTTTATCACTATTATAATCATAAATAATTGTATTTTATTAATAACGTGACTATCATAATATCTTCCATAAGATAGGGGGTTTATAAGATCAGAGATATTCCGCCTCGTAAATTTCTTGGATCGTTTTGTTCCGCCTATTATAAGTACTCTATGTGTATTAAATATCTCGACTCCGTCACTTATTTGTAACTGGAAAATGTTGCGCTGTCGAAGGAAACAAATATTTTTCTCAGTTTAGATTCCATAGCTGCGTAATAACATTCGGTCACTTTGCGATGTCCTGTATATCTTGAAAATAATTTTCGATGTTCCTAAGTGTATATATTATCCAACTTATTACACATCGTACGGTATAATAAAATTTCCGTACAATCCCGTTTTAGTTTTTAGTATTTGCGGCTCTAAGTGCGTGGAATCATTTCATCTTCACGAGAAACATATCGGCGTGACGGGAGGGTAGAGGCTCTCGAAGTGAAATGAACAAAATGTAAAAGCACAGTCAATAAAGAGCACTTGCACATATCTGGATTACGGCGTAATTGAATTCAATACGAAATACCTCTTCTTCCCTATCGACCTTACGAATTTCGATGACGAAATACTTCGCGAAAGAAATTCTGTTGAATCCTTTCAACGTAGATATCGAAAATGAGGTGCGCTGCAATTGCAGATGTACGTACTCTCTAAAGTTTTTGGAGTGAAAATAGAACCATAGATATTCGCTCTATTAGAGTAAATATTCATTCTAATAGAGTAAAGATTTGCTCCAATAGAGTGAACGTTTCACTCCATGGTTCTATTTTCACTCCAAAAACTTTAGAGAGTATACATATATAGAAATTGGAATAGTTCAATTAACGCTAGAAACTCATTCATTATTTAAACGGATTAAATTACGTTACATTGAACGGCTGCGTGCCAATAAACAGCATAATCGCTGTATATTGCAGATTATCGTTCGCATTGTGTCATACATAAGTAACAATGTTTGATATCATTGCGTAAATAATTAGCCTGTTGCGATTGGCGTCATACTTCAAACGTTACGTCGCATCGACATGTATCGCGGATCTAAAATGCGTTTAAATATTTTATTTCTTAATATAATAATAAGTGCAACTTATTATCTTCATTACTTATTATGTTCATCTATCGGAAAGGCTGCGATTAGCTGTCGACAAAATAATGCCGAGTTTTTTGTGGATTGCTCGTGGCAGACTTGGCATCCTTTTTTTAAGAGATATAGGTTCAGATGTAGTTACAGATACAAATACTATTTGCATCTATATCTTTCTCAGCAAAAATAATTCAGTGCATTTTGTATCTACATCGAAGGAATTCAAGAAATGTAACTTGTATCTCTTCACTGAAAATTTATCTTATATCTTTGATGAAAGAGAGTTAACACATCAAGTTCTGGCTGTCAGTACTGGCAAGTGGCAATTGGAGCTTGGTATTTTTTTTAAAGATACTAATACAGATACAGAGATACAGCTACTACCTGCATCTGTATCTGAGTAAAAATAATTCAGTGCATTTTGTATCTAAATGAAGGGAATTCAAGAAATGTAACTCGTATATGTATCTCTTTACTGAAACCATTGAAAATTTATCTTGTACTTGTACCTTTGACGAAAAAGGTCAAGATACCAAGCTCTGGCTGTCGGTTAATCGCGCTGTCGATTTCCTCCAAAAACAGGAAAACCTACACACACAGAGAATTCTGTTGAAGCGCGACGTGTTTTCGTCGCTTATCCTTCCCTCTCGCGCGGGCACGGACTGTCCCGTATTTTACGAACGGATCCTGCGGTCACACTCGACGGCGATCGTTTATCGACGAACCGCCGTATCCTCCGTGATTCCCCTATAAATGCCCGGCATCAAGACGTCCGTTTACGTAAAGACCCGTACGTTGTCTCAGAAGCAACGTCGCGACGACCCTCACTCTCGTTTTCGTTATCGAAACTTCTGACACCGATTGCCGAAGCGCACGATCGCGTGATCGTCGATCTTGTCGAGTTAGCGCGAACACTTGTTGACCATCAACATGGGGAGTAAGAAATCGGATATTCTGTACCTGTTCGATCGACCGGCGGAGCCGGTGTACGTGCCCAAGGGAGAGAACAAAGTCGCTTTCGATGTACCAGCTAACTACTTGGTAAGCCCGAACCTTGACGGTCTTATTGAGTATCAATATTGAATTCCACGATCAGTTTGATGCCGCTCTGCTTCGTAGAACTTGAAATCTCTCGATCGCGTCTATTAAAATTAAGCCTTAGATCGTGATACGCGACGTTCCGAGAACGTAGATTTCTAACAAAGTTTCACAGAGTAAACGACTCTTTCTTGAGTCCAATTCTCTTTGTTCCTACTTCTCGAGTGTAAGTTTTCTCAGAAACAGTCCGTAATACAAAATTTATTTCTTTACGTCACGCAAAAGTCCACGAATGAGGAGAGAAGAAAGAAAGAGGAGAAAGAGTATTTTTCTTTTGTTAGTGCCGATTCTATCGCTCACGAATTTTTGCATATAAACTTTTTTCAACGAAAATTTGCAGCCTGACTCTCGGCAACAGATGGCTCCGGCTATTGTGAATCGCTTCGCTGATGATACCCAGTCGAAAGTTCCAGTGAAACAGATCAGTCTGCCTGATTTGAGCGTCCCTCTTCAACTCGGACGTCGAGAACCCTTCTCTCTTTTCATCCCCAAGCACCGAAAATTAGCCGCGCGACTTATCGACATCTTCTTGGGTCTGTTTTCGATATTATTCACAACATTATGCCTCGTTGATATATTTTGCTCGCCGAATTATATAAATTTCACTTTCGTTTGTGAGTCAGTCGAGAGTAAACGTATATTCGTCTAACGTTAAATTGTTCTTTCAAGAGAAAGTTAGAATGAAACTTCCATTAATTAAATTAATTAAACGCGTCTCACGCACATTGGCGTATGTTGAGTTATTTTGCTCTTCTGTGAACTTGATTCAAGCAGATGCATTGCTGATCAGTTATAAATACGTGTTACAGGTATGCGAACGTACGACGACTTTCTTTCTGTGTCGGTTTATTGTCGCGATCGCGTTAATCCTCAGATGTTCGTCTATGCGCTCTCGGTGGCGATTCTGAATCGTCCCGACACCAAGAATCTACCGATACCACCGTTGTCGGAAATTTTCCCGGACAAGTACATCGACAGCGGGATATTTTCCAGGGCGAGGGAGGAAGCTAACGTTGTACCGGCTGGCTCCAGGGTACTTGTTATCTAACGCATTAATTACCAACAGGCTCGTTACTCAATTATGGAGCTTAATTACTTGCCTTCTATTCTTCGGGTGCAAGCCGAATGATGGCGACGTAAATTATCTAAAGGGCTTTTCGGTCTTTACGATATTTTCCAACTTTAAGGTCTGTAAAATATAAGGCAATTCAACGAATGGTCGTGTACTTTAACAGCAGCTCTCGTATACAATTCGCCGTAGCACAGAGCTAATGGAACGTGTTTAGCGTTGCTTGGCCGCAATTTTACGAAATTTACATATTTTAGATCGCGCTATTGAATTTGTGTAGTATTCCAACAATTTTCAACGTTAATTGCTCCTTTTAACCGGCGAGTTAGATTGTAAACTGTTACAACGCAATGAATTTGGGAGCTGGACTCGATCCAACGGGGAGAGCCGCTTTATCGTAATTTCCAACGCGAAAGTCTTCGTCGTTGTATCGTCTCTCGTCCTCGCAATACGTAGGTACCCATCGAAATTCCGCGGGATTACACTGCGTCGGATCTTGACGAGGAGCACCGCGTGGCTTACTGGAGGGAAGATATCGGGATCAATCTTCATCACTGGCACTGGCATCTGGTCTATCCGTTCGAGACCGACATCAGGATTGTTAACAAGGATCGGCGTGGCGAGCTATTCTACTATATGCACCATCAGATCCAAGCCAGGTAGGTGCGCCGACGAGCGCTCGTAAGTCGATAAGATTGGATACCCTATTCTGTGCCGTGCCACGAGATCACGCGGGTGTTATAAGCGACTGGATCACATTCTGATCTCGATCGTTATTATCGCGCGGGAACTCGTCTCAATTTTGCATAGTATTCGAACAATGTTTGCTAACGAGCTCGGAAATGCATTTGCGCGTAGAATAACGGAGCACAATTATTGCACGATGAATTTCGGAAATAAATGTAAATTTAAATGCCCGTTGAGGAGCACTTGTGAGAATACACTACGAAAATGGGAGCGACGCAAATTAAGAGATATTACGAGGAATTAATTTTTTAACTCGAGAGAGTTCTCTTTAAAATTTGTAATCTGTAATAGCATTGGTAAGTAAAACCAAATGTTCCATTGTTATTCTAATTAACAAAACTATTATCGTTAGTTATTTAAAAGTGATGCATTCATCAATAAATGCCTACCTGCTATAATGTCTTTCCTTTTTTCTAATATATAAGAAGCCTTCGTCATCGATTTACGTTAAAGTACCCAGCATCCGGATATCGCCTGGGGGCACCACCGACGGGGATTTCCGCGGTCCCTGTCTTATTATTCGGCTTCCGCCTGATCTCTCTTTTTGCAGATACAACACCGAGCGTCTGTGCAACCGATTGGGCCGAGTGAAGCGCTTCCACAATTGGCGCGAACCAATCCCGGAGGGTTACTTCTCCAAGTTGGATTCGTTGGTGTCCAGTCGCACTTGGCCCGCCCGCCCTGCCGGCGCCGTTCTCAAAGATATCAACCGTCCCGTGGATCAACTGAACTTCGACCTTCAGGACCTGGAGAGATGGCGCGATCGTATCTACGAGGCCATTCACACCGGCTCCTACATCAGCCCCCGTGGCGAGAGGGTGCCTTTGACCGAGTTCGGTGGCGTAGACGTGCTCGGTAACATCATGGAGGCCAGCATTCTCTCGCCCAACCAAAACGTGTACGGGGACCTTCACAATCTCGGTCACGTCGCCATCTCTTACTGCCACGATCCCGATCATCGCTACTTGGTAATGGGACACGCAATCGGTGTTGCAATTGCGAGGACCGATAAGACAAAAATTGCGACAATTTTTATCGAAATTTCATTTGAGCATATTAATAGGTTTTTTTTTGGTTTCTTCTAACTAAATAAAGTGCCTCCAAGCGCGCGCGTTAAACCAACCGTCGCGCCCGTCTTGATTTTTAACACAAAGCGTCTCCGGTCGAAGGACGCGCGACTTCCTCGAGCACGGCCCCTATTTTTCACTTTAAACAATTGATGCGAATATTCATGCTACATTGACATGAAAAACGGGACAATTTCTTTTTTTCATGCCCCCGCAGGAAACTTTCAGTATCATGGGAGAACCGGCCACCGCCATGAGAGATCCCATCTTCTACAGATTCCACGCTTTCACCGACGATGTGTTTCTGGAGCACAAGAATACACTCCCCGAGTACAGCCTACAGCAGGTGGGTGTACACAGCTGTCTCGCTTCCGCGATATATCATCGGTTCACCCTAGTATATAATGCCGTTAAGTACGCG